ATGCTTTGTTATTATCTTAAGTTAACAGAGAATCCTTAAAGACGAGATTGGGTCATTACTGCAAAAGTTTGATCAAAACGTGAAGTTTTCTGAATTATTGTTTGAATTAATTAACAAAATAGCCTTCAATAGAAAAACGTTTCCATCATAAGACCCCCACTTCTCGGTGAGTCAGCAGTATATCTGAGGGCTTATAATACTACAAATCAGGTTTCGATACCGCGGTGGGCAGAGCACAGATAGGCCATTGCTTAATTTGTGTTAAACAAGAAGCAAACAAAGCATCGTAAGAACAATAAGAATTGCACAATTACTTAAAGAGATAAAATTTTTATACCTATAGAATTTTGAGTTTATGTTTGATAGAATTATGGTAAGATTGATTTTGACTCGACTAGCTACTTGTCTTTCCTGGTTAGAATCTCCAACTGCGTCTCTACTAGATAGAAATTTATTCTAATAAGATTGTTCAACTAGCTAGTAGTAGCTTTTTCACACAATTAGTGAATGTTTAACCTGAGTTATATTGAAACTTACAAATAACTTCAGTGTCACCAAGCACAAGAACTGATTGTACGCATATAATACGGTTTGGCTTTAATTTTGCGCAAAACTACTCGAGGGCTATCTGCACTAATATTCTTTAATTTTGAAGTGATATAGTACTATTTACAAATGAATAGTGGGATTCACCGTCGCATTATAACGCCCCCAAGGCTGAAAGGGCGAGCATTTTTGGAATGGGATTCGAACCCGCGGCTCTCAGGTTGTGAGTCGAGAGCCCTAGCCATCAGGCCAAATAATACGATATACATACCTATATATTTGGCCACAGAAACGGTTTCACGAAACTTGGCGAGCAACTGACCAATACTTGAATGATACAATGGAGTCTTCTGTTTAAGATGGCTCGAATTAAATATTGTTGTGACCTGCTTCACACTATTGTTCAAGGATCTCTACCCAACAAGATTACTTCTACACGTTTTGATAAGGTTAACAATATCCCACCTAATTCTTGTAACAAAAGTTACAATTAGTAAATCTCAAAAATAACTTAGAAATATTACGATTTTTGTATTATCCTGTAGAATTAAACTGTATTTTCCTATTTCATTTTGAATCACTGAAGAAGTGGATTTTTTAAAATTTCATTGAAAGTAAAGAAAGTTCAGAAAATTATGCTTGCTTGTTTTGAATTTCGTGCAAAGCTAAACGAGGGCTATCTGCGCTAGCCGTCCCTAATCTAGCAGTGTAAGACTAGAGGGAAGGCAGCTAGACATCACCACCCACCGCCAACTCTTGGGCTACTCTTTTACCAACGAATAGTGGGACAAACCGTCACATTATACCGCCCCCACGGCTGAAAGGACGAGCATGTTTGGTGGGACGGGGATTCGAACCCGCCACCCACAGATTGCGAGTCGAGCGCCTTAATCACCTGGCCTAGAAAATTATGAAATCATGTTTATTGGGCATCTTAGAATGGTCTCATTCCATTTTCAGCAAATTATAAAGTAAATACAACAAACTCAGTATTTATAATACAATGACGAAACCTCTGTAGAACATACTTTTCCTTTTTGGGGCATGTAATGTAAATCATTATTCTTCGAAAAATATTTCATAAATTTACTGGCGCCACTTTAAATTGACAGTAGTAACAGAGCAGAATTAACTGGTTATGTGTTTTCTCAAAGCAAAGCCACATCGGGCTATCTGCAGGGCTGAGGACAGCTGCTCCGGATATTCTAAAGCTCACTAGAAATGCATATTACTTAATGAGCTAAAATGGCTACTGCTTTTTCGTGGATTCATGAAGAAATTTGTTACCTAAATTTCTTTTATGAAAAGTCAGCAAAAGTTAATAAATAGAATGAAAGGGGGGACCTGATGATATTACTGATCCCGGGGTCTGGGCTGGCTCTCAACGCCCCTGGCTATCTGCTGTATCCAACGAGGGGAATCGAACCTCTGAGTTTAACATTGTAAATCCGAAGACTTACAGCTGTCCCACCGGGTAACAATTGGTTGTGTGAAGCTAGTAGGAAAGGTGAAAAGTATTACTGAGACTTGCAGAAACGAAAATACAGTCAAGTATTGAGTATAAAATTACAGAATAAATAAATTGCATTTCTATAAAAACAAGAGAAAGTGCAATTAGAATGATATTTAAATTTAAAGAGAAAAGTATATTGGATATACTTTAATTATATTTGTTTTTGAGCATTTTTAATATACTTAATTTATACATGGAGGGTATTATATGTTTATACACTTGAAAAATATATGCATTTAGATTATTAATGTTTAGTTCAGTATTTGTATATTTTTGTTATAGATTAAAATTATATCCTGAATAGTAGCCTCTGAAGTCACGAAACCGGTTGAAAAAATTAATAAAGGAGAGAAAAAATAGAATAAAAAAATGTTCCAGTTTCTTGTTATTCGTTGTTGCTTGTTATTAAGCACAAAGCTACAAAGAGGACTATCTGTGGTCTGCCCACCACGGGTATCGAAACCCGGTTTCTAGCAGTATAAGTCCACAGACATACCGCTGTGCCACTTGGGGGGGATGTTATTTGTATTCACAGGTGAATTGTATTGATGTTTTGGTTTATATATATATATATCATAAGAGACTCTCATAATAAAAAACATTCATAACATTTCTCATACTGGGGACAGTTTAGTTATTTTGTAGTTTGCAAAAAAGAAAACATTTAGAAATAGTTTATGTATTTGAAAGTGTAGTTAAAATAAAGAACATTTTAGTGATTGTTAGATATATACGACTGTTTTCATTTATGTATAGCACGAGTGTTAAATATAGTTTTTCTCGTTATTTTAATTGCATCATAATATCTTGTAGTGTGTCGAACGTTCTAGGTCTCTGTCGGGCTATAAATACGCGTTCAAAATGTAGTTTAAGTTAGTTAGATCTAGGTTGCATAATTGAGAGTTTGGTCATAAAAAGCACATTGTGGCGATTTTTGAAGTGAAATTATCACAGATTGTATTGGAATAACAAAGTATAGAAGAAATAATTGTCTTGTCAGTTGTGTTCTGAAGTAATTGAATCAGCTTATATGGACTTTGACAAAAAAAAGAGACAATTAATTAAATCTTTAGATACAACTGTGATAATCTACAGGTAACGAACATTTTTATATATGTCTGACTTGTTTCAATAGATTATTGTAAAACAAGTAGACTGTGTGTTGTTTGTTTATTGTTGCCCAAATCTTATGAACAGGAAAAATGGCATGATGCTTTCCTGGAGAGGTATGATAGATTTGCCAAAAGTTAGAACTGGGACAAAGATGACTGAGCAGTCTGTCTCAGTCCCCTTATTACAGAAAAAGGCCTACAAGTGTATGTAGACATGATATCAGAAGATGTCAAGTTAAAAGTGGCCTTGCTGAAACGCTATGAACTTACTGAGAAAGGTTTTCGTCAGAAGTTCAGAGAAGTCAAACCTGACACTGGAGAAAATGCATTTCAGTTTCTGACATGTCTACATTGATACTTCACATGGTGGACTGACATGGTGAAGTGTGAATATAGTTTTGAAGGACTGGCAGATCTACTAATACGTGAACAGTTTATGATCACGTGCTCCACTGACATGTCACCGTTCCTAAAATAGAGAGCACCGAAAGACGTGGATGATCAGGTTGGTAGAACAGTATATGGAAGCCCATGGAAAGAGTTTAACTGGCAAGTCCAAGAATAACCAGTTAAAGTCGAAGCCAGGGATGGCTGACCAGAAGCAGGATACCACCATAGATGACAAGAAGTTAACAAACAAATTGGAGAAGAGATGCTATATTTGTTATAAAATAAGGTCTATTGCAAAGGAATGTAAGTCCATTACCAACAGGCAACAGCAGAAATATCAACACAAAGCAGCTGGAGCTACCTACAAAGAAAGTGCTGGTAAGAAATAAGAAAAGAGTGACTGTCACCATGGATGCTGCTACTAGAAGAAACAGAATGAAGACAACTTGTCAGATTTACCACAAGAAGAAAGTGCTATCACCATGATTAAACAGTGCACGACTGATGGTTAAATCACAACATGCCTGTAGGTGAAGGCTATGTCAGGAACAATACAGTGAAAGTCCTACGAGACACTGGGTGCAGCAGTGGGAACCAGTCTAATATCTGATGAACAGATTATTGGCAAGGTACATTTGTGTTTGCTGATTGATGGGACAGTGAAAAAGTTTCCTAGAATAAAGGTGGACACTCCGTACTACGTGGGAGATTTGGAGGTCATGCGTATGAAGGCATCCATCTATAACTTGGTGATGGGAAATATACCAGTCAGCAGACATTTGGAGGAACTTGACAGAAAGGAGAGTGGTGAGGCATCTGCAGTCATCACAAGAGCTCAAGAAAAGAAGAGCAAGCTAGACATCAACCCCTGCACTAAAAGTGACATCCCAAATGTAGGTCTACATGAACTGAATGAAGCACAGATGAAAGACCCTTCATTATAGTGTAACGAACACTTGTATATACGTTTGAATTGTTTTAATAGATTATTTTAAAACAAGTGAATTGTGTGCTGTTTGTTTATTGTTCAAATTTATCGCCAAAAGTCACAGGCACCTACTTTAAAGAATCCGGTCCATTAGCAAAAAATTGAAGAAAAAGTAGAATTTAGTAACTCAGCCATCTCATAATCACCAGATCTTTATCATCCCTACCCCCATCCTAACATTTTGTTTACCCTTAATGTATTTGTTGACCCATAGTGCACACAATGTTTCTTTACGCTGTATTCAAAGAATTAAACTTGTTGTGGTAAATCAGTCGCCTAGTTATTTTAAATGGTTACAATTATCACTAGTTATTTGATCGAAAGAAATGTACGGAAATAAGTGTTAAACATCATTTCATTTTTATCCAGCATACTAGTAAATCAAAGTTGTATGTATAAATATACATTATAGAAGCGTCTCTTAAAACAAAAATAATTAAAACTAACAAACACCATGCATATTACAAAATCTAATCTTTAAGTATATTTATTAAAGTAATATTCTCCTAAGATATCAATATTACTTAAGAAATTATCATCAATCATACAAAAGTCTGCAATGAACAAACAAGAGTACTAAAGAACAACAAAACCGAACATTAAATTAACATATATAAATAAAAAGTGTTGTACATTTATTCTCAACTCGACACCGATTTTATTTCTTCGGATATTATTTATAAAATATACTAAATATAATGTAAAAAGTCAAGGTGATGACTTTAATTAATATATATTACGGTGTCATAAACTTTTCGTAAACTCAAAATTAACCTACTCTGGGAAGCCCTAAAAGTAAAAATATTTTTTGTTTATACCATACATGAGAGCAATCACTGTAGCAACATAGACATTTTAAAAGCTTTAAGATACTTTAACAAAATTCACACGAAGCCTTTTTTTGGAACACCAAATAATGTTTCATATTCAGGGCAAGTGATACTTTAATTAATTGACGCCCTAGGCAGAAATTAAGGCTGCGCCCTATTTACAACGAAGTTCCCCCCTAGTACTTGGTGTCTTTGACTGTCAGCTATATCGTTTATTCTGTATCACCAGAATGGTAAAAATAGGTTTCATAATAAATAATATTTCAAGTAATGTCTTTCACTTTCCGCCCCCCCCCCACACACATTCATTACTACGACCGACTTAAGGTGTCTAATGTTCCACGAAACAATAATTTATTTTACGTTGTCGTTTTAAATCCTGTCATTATTTTCTGTTGTATAATATTTTCCTCCTCCAAGATTCTATTTATAAAAGAAATACTCAAAATACTGCCTCTCTACATAATTACGATCACCTAGATAGTAACAGCTTTTATAACCAAGCATGGTTAGTGTGACTAGCAGACAATTCTTGTTTTCTTTATATATGATGTTAGAAAAACAGTAGGTTCAAGAAGTCTTGATAGAAATGAATAAAAACCGTATAGCCTATATTATTGTGCATAAACAGAGATTAAAGATGTAAGAATAATGAGTGGTCATAAATAAGTAATAATTATGATTTGTAGCCTTAGAACAGTAGACTAACTTCTGGTAGACAGAACATTATAACCTGCTAAATTATGTAAATTACCTGTAACTTAAGAATGTAATGCCAGTTCTTACATCAAGTGCACCTCTATCTTTAGAATATCACATTACTATAACACCTGCAACTCTGACTTTAGAATATCACATTCCTACAACACCTGCACCTCTACCTTTAGAATATCACATTCCTAAAACACCTTCACCTCTACCTTTAGAATATCACATTCCTAAAACACCTTCACCTCTACCTTTAGAATATCACATTCCTACAACACCTACACCTCTACCTTTAGAATATCACATTCCTACAACACCTTCACCTCTACTTTAGAATATCACATTCCTAAAACACCTTCACCTCTACCTTTAAAATATCACATTCCTAAAACACCTTCACCGCTACCTTTAGAATATCACATTCCTAAAACACCTTCACCTCTACCTTTAGAATATCACATTCCTAAAACACCTTCACCTCTACCTTTAGAATATCACATTCCTACAACACCTTCACCTCTACCTTTAAAATATCACATTCCTAAAACACCTTCACCTCTACCTTTAGAATATCACATCCCCTACAACACCTTCACCTCTACCTTTAAATTATCACATTACTAGAACACCTGCATCTCTTCTTTTAGAATATCAGATTCCTACAATACTTGCACCTCTTCCTTTAGAACATCTCATCCCTACAACACCTTCACCTCTACCTTTAAATTATCACATTACTAGAACACCTGCATCTCTTCTTTTAGAATATCAGATTCCTACAATACTTGCACCTCTTCCTTTAGAACATCTCATCCCTACAACACCTTCACCTCTACCTTTAAAATATCACATTACTAGAACACCTGCATCTCTTCTTTTAGAATATCAGATTCCTACAATACTTGCACCTCTTTCTTTAAAATATCATGTACCATATCTACCTTTATTTGTAGAACGTCATTGCACCTCTACCAAACTTTCTTTGCACCTTCATATTATTATGAAAGTTCCTTTGTCACACACACTTCTAGCTATGTGCACCACTACTTTCAAAATGTCACTTAAGATCTTACACCACAGAAATATTGACTGGCTTCTGTTTCAAGAGTTGGGCATAATGATGATTCTTATATATTCAATATGTTTACAATAGTTTATTTTTATGCTATCATAAAACTTCACCTCAATAATCTTTTATTTACAGTAAATCTTATTCCGTCTATTTCATTTCCATCTCTATAAAATATATAATTTAAATGGAAAAAATGCACCTAACGTCAGTATGTTAAAAAGTTACTAAGATTCTTCTTTCTTCTGCATTTGATATTTAGAGAACAGTCAATAACCCAAGAAAAATGTACAAAACAGTGACAAAACGTTTCAGTAAAGTTACCCCAAAATGTCAAATTAGCTTTGAGGTCCTCCCATAAAATGTACAAAATACAGATTTTCTAAAATTAGAAAAACGAATAATTAATTAAATATTCTAACATGAATATAAATAATCTTCAATGTTGGTTTTATTAAAAACAGGATAATATTCGAACATTATAAAAAATAAACAGTATATTGTATTCAATATAAACATAATGGCTTCTTAAACATATCTGAAAATATTTTCCTGCTTGGGAAGTGAGTAGGTAAGCATTTTCTACCAATTATCCAGATTATGTGATAAATTTCTTCATGAAAGTGCTCAGGCAGTGAGCACAATTCTTTTAAATAAGTCTTTCAAAACTACCGTATTTTTCGGAATATAAGACGTACCCTTATTTTTAAGAAAAAGTTTTGGGGGGAAAAAGCTACAGTCGCATTT